ACACTGCTTTTTTTCTCATAAATTAGAAAAATTTCACGAAAATACATGACAATTTTCTCAATCTTTAAACCCGGTAAAAAGAACATATATGAAATTACCTGATCGCGAAAAAGTATATACCCTTTCCAAATATGAACATTTCCACATATAAAATAAATAAAATATCCAAAAACTTTTACCTCTAAATCATCTATTACATTATACACGTCACCAACGAATTCATACCGCAACCATTACAAATACTTATTTTCAGATATTTAAATTATTTCCATGCACGTTTACTTCAACTAAAACTTATACCAAATTCCTACAAACATAAAATTCACAAAATAACTATCATTTAATTAAAATATAATTAAATTCAAAAACACTACTTAAAATATAAATGAGCACATACATTAAATTAATACATACATAAAAACCCATTTCGAATTCACTTTAGTTACGGCCATGGGATCCAAAAATTCACGAACACTGTTTCACACAACACAGAATAAAGCCAAATACAAAATTTCCAGATTTTTTCTCGATTTCCCCCCTTTTCCGATTAAAGAACCGTAATTCGTCCATTAATATCACATGACATATCCCATGATCTCTCATTTCCCTCACACAAAATAATGCGTAATCGGAACTGAGTACTGCTCACATTATTACCAAAGTGCCAGGTAGTAACTTTTATCGCCTTCAAAATGTCGCCAAACTACCAGTTACCATATTGTAAAGATCAACCGAAATAAGAAAAGTTTATCAGCCACGTAATCAAGATCCTGAAAAAGATTAGGTAAGTTAGTATTTTTAATTATTTGACGATATTATTTTTATGGTATTATTGGAAAATTGTTATTAGCAATGATTTAGTTTAAAGTAATTAGGATTGTAAGCTAATTTTTATTAATTTAATGTATGTGCTTATTTATATTTAAGTAGTGTTTTTGAATTTAATTATATTTTAATTAAATGATAGTTATTTTGTGAATTATATGTTTGTAGGAATTTGGTATGCGTTTCAGTGGAAGTAAAGGTGCATGGAAATAATTTAAATATTTGACACTAAGTATTTGTAACCATTTGTAATGTTTGAGGTATGAATTCGTTGGTGACGTTTATAATATAATAGATAATTTAGAGGTAAAAGTTTTTGGATATTTTATTTATTTTATACCTGGAAATGTTCATATTTGGAAAGGGTATATACTTTTTCATTATTAGGTAATTTCATATATGTTCTTTTTAACGGGTTTAAGGATTCAGAAAATTGTCATGCATTTTCGTGAAATTTTTCTAATTTATGAGAAAAAAGCAGTGTACATGGATATGGTGAAGAGTGTGCGCAATGCCATTTTTGTGCAATTCTGGGATGTTTTTTTAAGTAAAAATAAGTCGACGTGTACATGGTTTAGTGATATTTTAATGTAATGATAGTTATTTTGTGAATTTTATGTTTGTAGGAATTTGGTATATGTTTTAGTTGAAGTAAACGTGCATGGAAATAATTTAAATATTTGACACTAAGTATTTGTAATGCTTGCGGTATGAATTCGTTCGTGACGTTTATAATATAATAGATAATTTAGAGGTAAAAGTTTTTGGATATTTTATTCATTTTATATGTGGAAATGTTCATATTTCGAAAGGGTATATACTTTTTCGGGATCAGGTAATTTCATATATGTTCTTTTTACCGGGTTTAAAGATTCAGAAAATTGTCATGTATTTTCATGAAATTTTTCTAATTTATGAGAAAAAAGCAGTGTACATGGATATAGTGAAGAGTGTGCGCAATGCCATTTTTGTGTAATTCTGAGATGTTTTTTAAGTAAAAATAAGTCGACGTGTACATGGTTTATGTGTATGTGTTATTTTGAAAAACACGTAAGGAGTATGGTATTGTGCACTTTTTCCCAATTTTGCAGTGAATATTTGTCATGATTAAGCAGTTTTGTTAGATAAAATTTCTAGCATAAGTGTAATTCGGCTAGTAGATTGTTGGAAGAAGTGTTCAGTAGATAAAAAAAAAAAAAAAAACATGTCTTTACTTCGTGAACAAAATGGCGGCGGAGAAAAAAAAATGGCGAAAAACCAAATGGGAAAAAAAAAATAGAGGGTTTCTGTAGGAGAGTAAATTTTCGCCAAAAAATCGCCAAGTTACCATAATGTAAAAATCAACCAAAATTTCCTCAAACCCTTATAAATACAAAATTGGAGAATACAATACACAATAAAAAGAAAAAGAATTGCTATAAATATTATTTTTCTCTCAAAAGATTCCGGTATGTCACTTTCAAACACCTACTTGCTACTGAGTCTCACCTTAGCCAATAAGAATACATTGAATGGAGTTGTATTAATCTTGGCCAGGATTGCACTTTCTACCCTTGGGCAGCAGAGCTGGCACTGCCACCCTGTGTAGTATCTGAGGGTCCTAAATATTGCTGCCCAATATTTCTCCTAAATTCTACAAATTCTGCGATCTAAATATTTCCTGCTTCCACACTCCTCTAAATTCTAAAACTTTTGCCACCTCTGAAATCTGCCTCTCAGTAGGAATGTACTGGTCCTTCTAGAGGTTTAGTATTTTTCTATCTGACATAAATGGCAAGCAAAGCCTTAATGACACGCCTGTATGTTATGTTACTACATATAAACCAGTGGTTTAAAAATAAGAAATTTTCAAACTATGAAATTGCTGAAGTTCCATGAATTCCGGGTCTGTACTGTATTCTCATAATAATCCCTACTAGAATGAAAAAATTTTACATTATTGCTTTAACAATGACACTATGTTTGGGTAGTACATACAGTCAAAAGTTTTGAATTCGGACACCCATAATCCAGAATGATCTATAATCCGGACCTCAAAGCTACAAACTTTCTACGCATGCGTCGCATTGACGCACGCTCGTAAGACCTTTATGGCTGTGAATATGCATGTGCGCATGCGCATAATACGTTTTCGCGTGCGCGTTTAATGTATAATGGACGTATAAGCTAAGCTAAAATTATCTAATTTCAGTTAATGTTGATGATTGCGTTGTTCCTTAATTTTCGAATTGGATCCGCTTATGCTTATTATTTTTTGCAGACTGTAAGAGCAATTTTATAAAAGTAAGCTTAAACTTTCGATTATATCAAATAGAATTTCCGATATATATTTGTTAATATGTAAAGGATCTAAAGCGAAAGTATGTTTGAATTATGAATTGCTGCAAAAAATGAAATCCAAAATCTGTTTATCAATTTCACGCTGCTCGGCGGGGGGGGCCGCGGCGCAAATGAATTGGAAGTTGATCTTGTCAGCACTATCCTTATCTTCAGCGCAGATGTTTTTATTTTATTTGGCTTATAATTCCTTACCAAATGTAGTATTTCATCTCGATATGCTCCGTCTTTGATATGATTTAAAACAAGTTCCTCGTCATTATAATTCGCTTCCGATAGCGAAGAAAAGTGACAGAGGTTATTGAAAACGAAAAAATTTCGATTGACAAATTAGTCGGTGTTCTTGACACAGCAATTATAGGACTTGAACAGCGGAACTTTGTAACTGAACAAGAAATTATGTCTGTTTAATAGAATTAAAGAGAAAGTATTATCACATGAAACGAAGCAAAACTTAAACAACTTACATTGAAAGAAATGTTTAATAAAGTAAACAAATAAATATTAAGCTTTTTCTTTTTGCAAATTTTGATACCCTTTAGATCATAATTGTTCTTTATTTCATAAATTACGGTTTCATATTTTTAGAATTTCTGCATGCCATCTTACCAGATTTAAACTGATGATCTATATAATCCGGAATCGCCGAAGTCCCGACGAGTCCAGATTAACGTCTTTTGACTGTATTTTATTATTTTTTAATATTCATAATGTCTTACTGTGTCAAATTTATCACTTAAACTGTATTGTACTGGATAACTTGTTTCACATAGTATTGATTGTTATTTGCGATATGTCCAGGGGCGTAGCTAGTTTCCAGCGGCCGGGGACAATTGAAGAATTTGCGCCCCTTTCTCTGTGTGCTAAGAATAGAAAACATCTCATTAAAAAATTCCGTAGCATGAATATGACACCCCTTAGTTGCTGCGCCCGGGGACTGAAGTGCCCTCTTGCTCCACCCTAGCTACGTCCTGGAACAAATTACAAGGTACAATGGACATACTACTATAACTCTTCATGTCTTTGATAATAACACTCAGAATCAGACTTTCAGCTTCGAATGATCCTTCCTGTTTTCTCTTTAAACTAAGGTTGATGTTCCCTTTCTAGTTTGAAGAAAAATTTTCAAAAACAAAAGTATTTTACATTTTTTTGCCTTTTTAAAAAATAATTATAAATTTTTCAAAGAAACGGAAATGGAATTAATGTGAGCACTAGGAAATAAAGCTCAAAATGATGAGAGAGCAATTCATTTGATGAGAATATATAATTTAGCAATCACTTAGGTGGATAGCCCTAACGCAATTTGGCACAATCCGTCTACCAATACAGGCAAATTTAGCAATTTATGTAGAAAAAGACAGCATCATATACACGATATTTCAAGATGCCTACTTATTTAATGTTAACTTCTGAGGACTTCTCACATCCATTGTGTTCTTACCCATTAATTGCTTCCTCTAGTGTTGAAAAAATTCATGAAGCAGTCTGATACATTTATTCTTAAATGCTCTTGACAGTTTCACCGGAAAACCCACTCATACCACCTCTGCTGTAAATGCTGCTGTAAACCAAGGATACATGCAAAACTATAGCACTTCTGATCCGGATTTTATTTCATACCAAATAAGCGGGATAAAGTTCAAACCACAGCAGCAAATTACAGTTAATGAATCGCATCAATCATTTATTAAATGAAATATTGCAAGACTTAGGAACTCGCATGTGATAAAGCAAAACCTATACCATATAGAGAGAAATACGCATAAACAAAAACATAATCAATCCAACACACAATTTAAAACATAAAAACACGCTCACTTAAATAATAAGCTCACCTTTTCACAAAATGTAAAAAATTTCTAACGCAGATACTCGAATAAACTCTTTGCTAGTTCCGTATGCAGCACTTTCCACTCGCAAATCAACCGGACCAAGGCCAACTTATACTCAAGGCCTGCCAGACTGAACGAAATTCCGGTTCCCAGTTTTCAGTGGCTTTCGCGAAATCCACCACTAGGTGGCGCTCGCATTTTGCTTACAATTTTGGCTATACGCTCACTATTTGTAACGTAGCTTCGTTATTAACAAAAAGTGTATTTTATGGCTAGCTGCTGTATATTTAAAGGCTATACTTAACGAGCTTAGGTTTTTTTTGCGTAACTTTATATGCATATAGGTTTAAAATTGTGTATATACATCATTGAACTCAGTTCTGAAATTCCTCATTCTGCTTATTTAATTCTGAAATCTTTGTGCATCTAATGCTGTTATTTTCAAAACTTTGTTTGTAACTTTCTTCTGATTAATCTGGAATGGGAATGGTACACATGGATTTATGTCAGGTAGTTACATGTAGGTAATGTATCAAGATGGCACTCATGTGTGTTAATAGTGATAATATTGTTTTGTGAAATTCAGTAATTTTTATTTCATGTATACATTATTTCTTGATAATGAACTATATCAGTATCTCACGCTGCCAGCCATAAAATTTTGTACACATGTCATTCTGATTAATGTTGTATATGTGTAAAAAATATCTAGCTGCTGTATATTTAAGGGTTATACTTAATAAGCTTGTTTTTTTTTTGCCTAACTTTATATGCACATAGGTTTAAAATTGTGTATATACCTCATTGAACTCAGTTCTGAAATTCTTCATTCTGCTTATTTAATTCTGAAATCTTTGTGCATCTAATGCTGTTATTTTCCAAAACTTTGTGTGGAACTTTCTTCTGATTAATCTGGAATGGGAATGGTACAGATGGATTTATATCAGGTGTTGCAGGTAATGTATCAAGATGGCACTCATGTGTGTGTGTGCTTAATAGTGAATAATATGTTTTGTGAAATTCAGTAATTTTATTTCATGTATACATTATTCTTGATAATGAACTATATCAGTATCTCACGCTGCCAGCCATAAATAAATTTTGTAAATAAAATTTTGTACACATGTCATTCTGATAAATGTTGTATGTGTGTAAAAAATGTCTACCTGCTGTATATTTAAGTGATGCATTTAATAAGCTTGTTTTTTTTTTTTGCCTAACTTTAAATGCATATATATCTAAAATTGTATATATACCTCATTCTATTTAGCATTGTGGGCATGTGTGATGGATATATTATTTATATTCAGCCATTGCAAGTTTTCAAATTTTATCCTTGATATACAGAACTGAACTTTTCTTAAGTATATATTGTGATTATGAGAGTTATTATTTTTTTGTGTGCTGTTAAAATATATTTTATAATGTCTGTGTCTCTTTTATTTATAACAAAACAGATTGATTTGATCAATAGCTTTATCAAAAATTTCATTATTTTCATTTGAAAAATTGAAGTTTCTCTAACACTGAAAATGTAAATTGCTGATGCAATGCACTTAATTCAATTACTAGTTTCTTAATGTTAACATCAATGAAATTTAGAATACAAATGAAAAGTGAAGAGAAACACACCTGTGTAATATTAAAATTAGTCAAAAAAAGCAACTTTAGGTTTGAGTTTCATTCAAAATCTATGCCACAGTAAGACTTTTTTTTTTTTTTTTTTTTTGCCTAATAATTTTAGTCTTGCTTCTAATATCATCTGCAATGCAAATACTGCACAGAGATCAAAATCTGCATTATTTAAACTTTTATTGTTTAAGATTTCCTAAAAACAGGTTATTTAATAAGAGTTAAAAAAATTCTTCAGTATGTAAAATTTAATCTCTTTAAGTAATATTTTTACTTTAATCTCTTTGAGTAATATTTTTACTCCAATGTTCGTGGAAACAGATATACAAATTTTAGATCACGGTGTATTAATATGTTAATTACATCTTTGATAGGGGATACTAAATTATTTTTTGGCTCCAGTACAGCCGATAGAAATATTTTGAAAATTTTTCACTGAAATAGTACATGATCTGAAGCTATCTGTTAACTTCTTACTATATACATAATTAAAAAATAAGGTGTATACTCTGAATTACCTTTAAATTAGAATAAGTAGTTATAATGCGTACAATTCAGAATAGCGCATGTCTAAAAGAAAAAAAAGCAGGAATTAAAATCGAGATCAAATAGCTGGTGTTTATGTGTGAAAAAAAAAAAAAAAGGTGAGATAGCTTGAAATTCCATGCTTTCCTTCTAATTAAAATATTTTTACTAATAAGAAATCAACAATTTCTGACTACTATGGATTAATCGTTTTTAAACTTTGCATATAACAAGACAGAATTCGTTTTTTTTGTACTTTCCCGATTTTTGTAAACATCGCAAAGTGTAGCAGAATTGTAGCGCCATCTTGCGGTCAGTAGGAATATCACGCAGGCAACCGAAAACACAAAAGAATATTTTCACACAGGCAGGCCTTGAGTATAAGTTGGCCTTGACCGGACCAAACGGTAAATAATAATAATTAGAGCTGGAGCAAACCGCATGTATTCGTTACTGAGTAACGGGTACATGGGTTGACTCGAAGTACCGATTCGGTACTCACAAATTCATTTCGTTACTCGCATCTGTTCGTTACTCGCGATGCGGTTTATTCGAGTACGAATGATGCGGTTGCTATGCGAATACGAATGATGCGGTTTCTATGCGAATGCGAATGATGCGGTTGCTATGCGAATACGAATGATACAGTTGCGTCACAATGCGCTCATATTTTTCATAGATAATTTTTTAATTTTGGGGGGCATCGGGCAAACTCTTGTTTACATTATGTGTTTTAGTTGAAATATTATTTAGTTGTTGATATTTAAGAAGATGAGCAATTTTGATAGCGTGAAGCGTTATTTTGTATTTGCTTTTTACATTAAGATTTATGTTTGTAATTTGAAAATTTAGATGATTATTGATTTTTTTTTTTTTTTTTTCTTGAGCGTGCCATAGTGAGATTTTATTGATTTGAAATATTTATATACTGCACTTAGGTATTCTTTATATAAGAATATGTAGGTTAATATAGGTTCTTTACTTCCTTGTACGAAATGAAAAGGTAGTAAGTATTGTAATCGAGAAAACTTTTGGGTATCATATTTTAACGGAAATATCCATTTTTGACGATTACGGAATGCATGTGAATTATATTTTTGGCTGACATGACTCTAAGTTGATACTTGAAAGGGTGATGTATGAGTATTGAAACGTGATGTATAAGTATGTATGCATGCATTTCGTATAACTCAAAAACGATTAGTTGGATTAGTTGTAGAACGTTGAAATTTTGTATATGGGTCCGTTATAACATCTAGATGTGCACCTCTCTTTTTATTGCAATCGGTAATACTACCAAACGTAAATATGTATATATATATATATATTAAATAAATTATAATTAAATGTAAAGTACATATATAAATAAATAATTAAATAAATGTAAAGTACATATATATATATATATATTAAATAAATTATAATTAAATGTAGTCAGGACTTAATTTTTAAAATTAGAAGTGCTGGAGCTCTATGGAAGGCCATCAGGAAAGATGAATGAATAAATAAATAAATAAAAATAAAAAATAAAATAAAATAACTATTACAATAATAAAATAATTAGCAACTAGAATATTAAATTACTATTATTATAATTCAATAAAAATTTAAAGACAAATGAAAATTTAATTAATTCTTAAATTAATGATGAATAAACTAAGTAATGAAATAAAATACCAGACATCGTCTTGTTTGGGGGGCTGTGGCTGAAATTTCCTGAAAGGTAAGGCAAGCATTAGCTAAATTTAGGCTTTTGATGAGCAAATAATGTACTGTTTACCAGAGTATATGGATAGAAATTTGGTTATGTAGCCCATTCTTCTAAAACGACGTTTCGTCGCTGCCTTCCACCACCAATTCCTTTTTTTTTTTTTGCTTTTTTTTCCAATTTTTTTTTTTTTTTTTCGGTTTATTCGGTTACGGCAAAGCACACTAGGGCTATTGCCCTACGGGGAGGGATAGGGATGCCTTCGTGGAGGATTTTTTAAAGGAAACTGACTCATATGCAAGTTACACATGGGGAAAACCACGAAAACGCCCGTGCAGCCAGCCGTTAGCCGGGAATTGAACCCCGGATCGAACTATTAGTGTTCAGCGACTTTACCGCTCGAGCTCTGGTGGGCTCTTTTTTCGTTTCATTCGCTGTTTGAAAAACAGGTGTTCACTTTGCGATAAAGCAAGCACCTGTTTACTTCAATTAAAATGGGTTAGACGATATGACTCTTACTACTTTACTCTCACTTAGCTTTTGATTTCTATTATTGATTCATATTTTCTGTAGACAAAGTATTCTTATTAGAATAACGGATTTCAAACATGTTCAAAAGTATCATGTTGTGTATCTGAATATAATTAGGTTTTTATAACATAGGGCCCATTTTATTAGTTTCACATATTTCTAAAGCAAATGAACCACAGTATCGCTGTTTTGAAAGAAAGTAAAAATGTGACAAATGTATAATGAACATTAACATACATATATACATGCTTATTAAAAGTAGTCAGCCTTTTTAAACGTGACCGTCTATGCTATTAGAGGATTTTGGAGCTCTGTGCATTTGCTCTGGCATCTTAAAAAAGTGATGTTCAATATCAACGTATGTTTATGTTCTCAAAAATACAGGTCTCTTTCAAAGAGCGACCACTTAGAAGTCATCAATAAATGATTCAGTGTAGTTATTTTCTAATAGATAATAGAATAAATTTATTTTAACGTCAATTTAAAAATGGCTGCTTGTACTAAGAGTTAAGAGCAATAAGACTCTAATTTTTCTTTCGCAATTAGCTGTTATGCCAGCTGAATTGTTTTCTGCATAATCTTTATTGTGTATAATTGAAATATTTAGCTACGCATTCAACAAATATACAACAAATGTAAGACCAAGCATTTAAAAAAATTAAAATTTCAAACATTAATAATAATTTTTCTGTTATACATAAAATATTATTAATGAATGATGAATTTATATATCATATTA